TGTGTGTGTGTGTGTGATAATGCACAGACAGCACTGGACTTCATGAATGAACATTGCAGTGTGCAGGAGGGATTTACAATAAACGTACACCAGCAGAGTCGCTGCTGGAACAGAGCCATGTTAGCGTGGCACTTTCTCAATAACAAGCGAACACAAACCTACAAAACATTGAGAGTTTCATGTGAAGTAAACCTTACAAACATTCACCCAGACCCGTGTCTAACTCCAGAGTGAAAGTGTGCAGCTTTTATTCGCAGAAAACGACCTGTCGTGTGAAGATGACCTAACATGGACATTTATGTCGCTGTGACTTTGTTTACACTGGTAGCAGCCTGTCTAGCTCTCATACAGACCTCCGGCACTTTACCCAGCCGCAGACAGAACAACTAGCGCACGTCTGTGTGTCTGTGTGTCTTTATTTAACGTTGTTTAACATCCGCCACACATATCTCTAGAGCTAACCCTTAAGCTAGCTGTTAGCTGACGTTTGTTTTCCAAAGCTAAAATCCGACGCAGCGTTTCGTTTCAGACAACAGTGAAACTAAAGCTCTCCTTGCACGAGTCAGTCGGCTCGGCTCGGTACGAAGTCGTCGACATAAAGTGGGACCCACCTGCTGGATCAAAGTGTGTTGGAGAGAAAATCCAGCGGCTGGCTAGCGCTGACGGCTAGCGACAGAAAAATGACAACAACCCTCCAACGGCTAACTAACAGATAACAGCGTCATCGATCGGAGAGACCAAACCAATCGATCCTTTGATTATTTCAAAGCAACTGAGTTTCTTAAATCGATCATTTTGTGTATTTATATAATTATCTTTTTTTTATTTTAGATGGGTTTTTTTTTATATTCAAAAACAACAAAAAACAAACAAGTTTTATCACGTTTTATTGAAGCGCTGAGAGACGCCATTCGTTTCTATATTAAAACATAATTCAATGTGTTTAGTTTCATATATTTCATATAATAGAAGGGAAACTTGATTTACTGACTTACTTTATAAAGTTGTTTTTCTTTATTTCTTTTTTATACACACAATAATAATAAATAAATACATAAAATACAATATAGGATAGGGGAAATTCAAATGTGGCACAGCAGCACCGGGGAATGTGGTGCAAAAGTAGAGAAACAATAAATAAATACAATAAAAAATGTGTATAAGTATAAAAAATATATACACTATATACAATAAAGTGGAATATGGTAATCGAAAGTATTTTAAATTATGTATAATTGTACATGTGCCATGTTTCAATTTCAGTTTTAATGATGATGCTGATAATTGAAAAGTAATTTTGGTAACTTCTCTGCACCAAAATCTTCAAAATCTTTACTTACTTTACTAATTTGTTAAATGATCAAAAACAATATTAAGACTATTGTTTCATTTATTTGTCACACCCACATTTCAGCTCTCAGCTTTATGTTGAGCTGGTTAAAATTGCAGATTTAATATGTTCATAAAAAAAAATAATGAAATCATTTTATTACTATATGTCTAAAATCTATAATAAATATACACATTTGCACCTTGATTGCTCATAATGGATATATGATGTTTTATTTGTTTTATTATTATTTAAAATCTATATACACTGAATGAAAAGATCCCTTATCATAAATTTGTTCTCATCTTAACAGTGGCAATGTCTCATTCTGTTCACAGTTTGTGGTAAATATGCAATAGAAAAATTAATGAAAAACACATCTAACAGTAATATAATACTTCCTGTATGTGTGTGGTGGCTCTCAGCTCAGTGACATCAGAGTGAGCATCAGTCAGAGGAGTCAGCTATAACTGAGAAGTGCTGTGTCATTGGCTCATGTGGACATCATTACACTGACCATATAGGAACGGACGAGCTGGACTTCCAGTTAAACTCGTAAAGAAAACATTAAAGTGGAACTATGCTGTGACAACTATTCTCTGGTAAGTATTAAAACTTTCTGAGACAAATTTCTTGCAACTTTTTAAACACACAAAGACAGTTTCAAAACAAATTTCATAGTCACTGAAGTGAGGATATTGTGACTAATGGCACTCCCATATAGAGAGCCTTATTCTTTTCACTGTGTTGAGAAACAAATTTAAAGGAAGTAAAGAATTAAGCCATGAAAATGCAAAGTACAGTAGGACTGTGTGTGGAGTGGAGCGTGTTAAACCTGATAGGGGTGGGATCAGGTTACCTGCCACAACATTATCTCAGCGGAAAACACTTGGCTGATACTACAAACAGATAAAAGACGAATTCTTCTCTGTTTCACCTTATCTTTCTTCAGCTCTGTGCAATGCTGCTGTGTGGATAGTTTCCTGCTGTGGCTGCTCAAACAGGGACAAGACAGCAACAGGATGTCCCTACCAGTGTAAAGGTGCTGATCGTTTTAGGTGAAATAGTAAATTATGATGTTGTAGTTCTGATGGTTAAACTGTCTTTTTTTTCCTCGCTGTGCAGGGCAGAAGGTGTGGACCGTCTCTAATGATGAAACAACACCTAATAAAAACCCTCTCTAAGTGGATAGAAGAGATGCCCACATTTCCCCACCACCTTATTTATCTCTGAAGCTTATTTACTTGCAGCATGTTGATCTGAAGTTTCTCTGTACTTGTTATAATGATGACTTGTCTGAAAACTCCTTGGGGCGTTGGATAATGTCTGATAGCTGACAAGTGCAGCTGTGGCTTACAATCTACTATTTATATGGCAGACTGCAATGTGGTCAGCACTGCAAATTAATCCAATGAATTAAATAAATGGTTGTCAAGATTATGTCACTGTCTGTGTCAGTAATGTGTCCTTGCACTGTTTCTCCTGCTTGCTTTTCTCTTATGAGACTCTTTTTTCCTGAGTGTGTGGCGTCACCATGTGGAAGGAAACACAACTACAGGAGATAATTACTTTCTGGCTGAAGAAAGACAGAAAACTTTTATGTTTATTTATCACTAAGAGGTGATGTAGTAGTTGTAAGATATTCAATTTGATCATTTCATCATTAGGAACTTGTCATAAGCAAATGAGAGTACAAATTATGGTCAGCCAGTCACAGCATAATGTAAATAAAGTGCTTGTCAGGTTTTATTTGAAATGTATTAACTATTAATAGCCTAACATTGTTTTAATTTTGTAGGCCAGTTAAACAGTTAGGTGGAACAGAATGCAAATCAATGCAACTTTATTGTCCACAAAAGTGGAAAACTGTCTTTGGCCTATCTGGCAGTTAAAACATAAACTCACAAAAACATCACACAATGACAACACTGACAGTTTTAATACAGCAAATAACAACATTGAAGAAAAGTCTCCCTCCTTTCAAAAATCTGTTTTTCTTCTTGTTCCTACAGTTAAATGTTTGAGCTTCACTTTGGTTAGAATGGGATGTATGTGCAGGAGTTTGACACGTAGAAGGATGTTTTTACATTCATCTGCTGAATGTGGAAAGTTTCTCTGTGCTCATTAAAATTGGATTTTAAGGGGCGGGGCCTACGAGCATGATCTAATTAATACAAGTGTGATGTAGAAACTTGAAGCCACCAGTGCACATACACTGAGACTTTACAGTGAAGTAGGAGACATCTTGTGTCCAGCAGAAAAACTTTAGAAATGAATAAAATTTGTATATTCACAGATTCTGGACTTTTTAATTAGGTAGAAGTATAGTACGTGCCTTTTTTAAGAATTTTAATGTGAAAATTATTCTTTTTTTTGCTGATAAAACATATCCGACACACGTTCCAAGCAGACTATTTCTGTATGTCTTAATACATAAAATTGAGTCTTTAAGTACTGAGCAAGCCAACTTCCTGTAAAACAAATGACTTCTTATATACAGAAGTATTGTCAGCCTATCGCAGAGCTATAGACAGAAAAACACATTCACACCTACAATATTTTAAAGTTTTCAATACATTTACTGCACCTTTCCAAAACACCTCCAGTCTGTGAGAGGAAACCAGAACAACCAGAGGAAATCACAGATACAAGGGCGAACAAGTTTAAGACTGGCAGGTTCAAACCTTGAACAAACTGCACCTGTTGTGAGGCACCAGCCCACTGAGCCAATGTGCTGCTTACCTGCCCCGTCCCTTTACCCCACCACTTGCCTAACGTGTAATTGTATACTGGGTCTCCAGCCTGTATGATAAGTGAATAGGCAGTCTAGAAATTTGGATGGAGGTAAACCATCATCAATAAAACGTTCTCTCTACTTCTCAAAACTGACACTTTACTGATATGACAAACAAAAACTATGAATCTTGAATGATTTTCAAAATGTTTGGTTGAAAACATGCACAAAATCTTCATTATTGTTGCTCAGGAAAATTAAAATCAAATAAATATTTTTATGTAAAATAAAAACTCACTTACCTGTGTTTTAAACTGCCTGCCACTTGCTTAATGTGTACTGGGATAGTCAAAATCACATATGATGCAGACCAAGATAGGCAGCTTTTAAAATGGATGCAAGTTTTATTTATAGAGTTAAAATGTCATCAATATAGCTTTCTTTCTGGATTTCACCAAAAGAGGTGACCATCTGATATGACCAACAAAAACAAGCAATTTAATTGTTTGGCAAATTGTATGTTTCTTAGTAAAGTTTTCTTAATAAAAGAAGTGTTTAAGTGATGGACTCTTAAGCAGGTTACCTATATTTATTTAAGAGAAAATTTCTCAGGACTCTTTCTTTGTTTGGAGTACTAGATGATCAGATTGAATCATCTTGGAGTCAGACAAGCTGTCAATCTCAGTCTGCTCTCTGGATTTCACTCTCTTTTAAGAGCAGGTTATAATGCATGCACTTTTAACAAAGTCAGACCTCTGAAATTCACAATGATCGGTCAACTTATATATAGAAACAGCCAGTGACTCAACCAAATGAGAACAGGAAAATACTGTGTATGCTCACTGTTTTAAAGTTTAAACTTTACCAACACCTGTTGCTCCTTTAAAGGAGCAACAGGTGTTCCTACAATAATTACCATCATACTTAATATCATATCATATTTATTTAGAATAGAAGAAAGCACAAATGTATTTACATTCACATGTACAGTAGCATACAATACAATTTTACAATTACACAATAGTGTAGTAGTATACAGTCTGTGCAAGGTTAAAGTGACAATTTCAGTTTACAGTGTGGAACGATGCAGCTCAAACAATGTACACCGGTGGCCACGTCCCTTAGCTTCTACTAACTGTACAAACTGTTGTTTGAAAGAACTTTTTCACCTGAGCTGGTGAGGATGTGATGCAAAAGTTAAAGAAATGTAGAAAACAAAGTCTCACATTTGCAGTGATGTGTGACACCTGTTTACACAGAGAAGCATTAATGACAAATTATTTGTAAAGTCTTGAGTTATGTTTTTCAGGATGTTTCAACTTTCCAAAACACAGACAATCATTAAAACATCTTTCTGCTGGAATTCTGATCACATGATGACCAAAGAAAACACGCCATACAAATAAGGCAACACATTTAAATGTCTTTGTGAGATGTTTTACAATCACATCAACTCATTTATTTCCTTAATGAGGGCCTGTCTCATCAGGATCTCCCTTCTATAGAGCTATAATCTAAAGTGCAACGTTGTCCATGCCTGACTGGCCCTCAGTGTTTCTGCCATCATAACACCATGGTGGGGATGTGGTGCACCATGGGCATCTGGTGCTGGTGAGGGATGGCCGTCATCTGTGGTGGGGGAGGGGACACTTGGGATGGCACGTCGGAGGCGTGCACCACCGGTTTGTGCCGTGCGCTCTTCTGGTGCGCCCTCAGGCCCGCCAGCTGCGAGTAGGCGCTCTGACAGACGTGACACTTGTAGGGCCGCTCGCCGGTGTGCAGGCGGACGTGGTTCCGGAGCGTGGACGACTGGCTGAAGCGGCGGTTGCAGAAGCGGCAGACGAAGGGCTTGTCCAGAGTGTGGATGCGCATGTGGGAGCGCAGGTTGCTGCGGGAGTTGAAGCCGCGGTGACAGATTACGCACCGCATGCGACCGGCTGAGATGGAGGAAGGGGGGGAGCAAGAGGGAGGGCCTTCGCAGGGGTGGGTGTCATCTGAAACAAAGAGGAGGGAGATTAGTTTAAAGCCTTGACAGTTGAAGTTTCAGTCTCAGAGGTTTATCTTTGTATTAACAGCCCCGATATTGATCCGCAAAATGACTCACCACTCCTGCTTTTCTTCTGCTGTTCTTCATCTATTCCTGGAACTCCAGGGATTCCCAGGAATGTGTTGTGAGTGTTTCCATACCAGACTAGAAGCTCCTGGTCAGGCGGGATGGTCTGAGGAAGGAAGGAAATAGGGTAAAGGTCAGCCGATCGATATGTGATTTCAGTTTTCTGTGTCTGGCGCAACCTGACCATCAGGTTAGATAAATTAGAAATCACATATGTATTATCCCCTTGATCCAGCAGGTGGCGCTGTTCTAAAGGAGATTTACATTCTTGATGGTCGTCAATAAATTCCCATAAAGCCACTGAAGGCCCAGTGGATGCATTCAGGCCCAAAGTACTGTTTTTACTAGCTGCTTCAGTAGATTCTCACCTCCACCGCCTTGTAGAAGATGCTGCTGCCGATCTGCACCACCTCCAGGTTTTGCTCCTGTTCGTTCCGGGCGCACTTTATGTAAGTCATCCAGCTGCGCTGATCCTCCTGGCTGGCATCGATAAAGTAGCGCACAGTGCCGTCTTCATTGAACACCTGAGCGCACAAAACAGCCAATATTAGAACACAGGAATGAAGTTATAAAGCACTGACTCAGGGGTAAAGTCTGAGCAGGAGCTCACAGGCCTTCCCTGCTGACTGAATGAATGAATGAAGTCTCAGCTCACCTCCCACATGAGGTTGTTATTCTTGAGCAGGTCCACGTGTTCAGGGGACAGGATTCTCCCTGTGAAAGGGCCCATCTCGGTTCCTGCTTTGATCCAGGTCTTTGAGAAGATGCCCAGACCTTCTCCAGGGATTGAGCTTTGGGCGATGATCACTTCACTGGGAAGCACCAGGCTGGACAGCTTCTGCACCTCTGCAAATATAAAAGAAGAAGTGTGAGCATGCAGAGTGGGAATTAAAACAGCCTGCGCAATATATAGATGAGTGTCAGTGTCTTAAAATAGATTTTTCTAAAAATGTCCAGGAGCAAAACTTTGCACAAAGAAATGCAGATAAAGCAGAAATGTTGTGGTCAAAGAGTTGTTGCCAGCGCGCCTCATGAAACCGGATTGCTGGAAAAGTCCTGAAAGCAGCAAATGGACTGGATCTTATTTTAGTCACGAAATATTAAGCTACACCTTATCCTCCGTTTAATTCGATTATCTGGTTGAATTGAAAGTTTTTGTTGTGCAGAGAAACCCCTTCGGAAAGCATTTTCATCCGCATCAAAAAGGAGAAAGAAAAAGAAAAAACCTCTTGCGCTTCTTTAATGTCAAAATCAAAGATTTTTTTTTTTTTTCTTATTTGAGGCTGCTAAAAAAGCCCGGCCGAATAGGGGTTAAATGGTCCTCTATTGCCCAGGGTCCAGCAATTGGTCATGCTTCAGATGTGATATTCATTAAAGTTTACTGGAAAAGAAACGGCTAATTCCAAATTCATTATCCTTTTAAGAACTTTGTAGCAATAAATTTGCGCTGAATGAGACGAGGACTTGTTTAAAAGACTCAGGAATTTCTGCAACAAAAAAATGGAAAGGCGATTAGATGGTTGACATGCAATGAATAGCATTAGATTTAGCCTTCACGGTGCATTATGCGAGGAACAGCAAATCTTTTAAGGAGAGAGAAAGAGAAAAGCTCCGGAGCCCCATAGCTGCCAAGAGAGGAAAAGAGACTGTCCGGAGATTGATGAATGCGGGATAAAAACCCGGGACATCTCAAAGAAAGGAAACCTTTCTCTCCCCGAGGTTTAAGTGGAAACTTTCCCAGGTCAAGCACAAAGTTAACCAAATGAATTTAATGCCCTGCGTCTTTCAATCAGCGGCAGTTACACGCCTAACAAGCCTCTAAACGCGAGGTCTCAAAGCTCTGAAAGGGTTAATGCGTTAAATGGGTCGAAATAAAAGCAGCAAAATGAGGGAAAATGCAAAAAAACAGCAACAAGGTAGGAAGGGAAACTTTGGGGAAAATGTTTGAGTGGGACACTAAAAGTTATTCTTGTTTTTTTTCTTTGAGGGAGACAAGATGTGGGATCTTGTGGAAATGATGTGATGATATTATTGGGGAAAAAATGCCCAAATTTAGCTGTCAGTGGAAAAATGAGCATTTGCATCTTGGATTTCTGCGATACACATTTGTAGGAAACTGCATACAATCTAATAAGCACATCCCATGTAGGAAAAATAAAATAAAAAATCAAATAATTATTTTCATTTCCATAAATCCCCCCCCCCCCCCCCCCCTCCAAAAAACGCCTTAAATCACAAAAAAAATCCTACAAAACCTGCAATTTATAAGGTGCAAACATGCACACCGATATGATAAAAACAGGTCTAATAATGCAATCAAATAGTCCCGTGGTAAAGCAGCATGTCAGCCTACCTCCAGCGAAAGACTGAGCCAGCACTTCGGCGGTGAAGGCGGTCTTGGGGCTGCTGCCGCTCTGCCGCTCCTCCGCCTGGTGTTCGCCCAGCACGTTCCTCCACCTGCCGTACAAGAAGCTGTGCAGGATGTCCGAGGTGATCACGTCCGACAGCGAGCGGCTCGGACACTTAAATCCAGACTTGAGAGCCAGAGTGTCGGCGGGTAGCACAGAGCCCATGTTTGCAAGACTCCAACACACACACACACCACACAAAAAAAAAAATAGGAGAGGAAACCTTGAATTGATAACAGCAAGCGGAGAACAAGTGGACACCGAGAGCTGCTCCTCAGTCCTGCGTCCTTCTGCTCCGGAGTGTGTGTGCGTAAAAGCTGGCCCTGCCTGGCTGCGAGGGTCTCTTTATATAAGTGGCTGGTGTGACCCCCCTGTCTAATTACTTATTAATGACACACCCCTCACCGCGTGGACCTGCCTGCTGCGCCGCAACCGGCCAGCAGAGCCATTAAACACACACACACACAC